CTCGGTTTGGAAGTGGACATGCGCTGTAAGCAAGCGTATGAATAACATGCAACTTTCTTGTTATGCATATGCTATGTGCAGCACATCCGAGATGCCCCAACGTTTCTGTTCATTCCAAATGAGGAGTCAGCAGAGAGCTTTGAGGCAATGAATCACATGGCAGGGATCTTTATGAGAATCCCAACCTTACTTTTTTTTTTTTTTTTTAATCGCCTCAAATCTTCCATCCGCCCTCCTTGGAGCTGTGTGCTCTCCCTATCCTCCACCCAGCCCTAATTTCCGGAGCACATTATGCACACATACTGTAATGCACAGCCTGGTGTGGCTGCTGAGTGTCAGCACATTCTGCTACAGCAGGACCCACTCGAGAGCCATTGAGAATATAGCAGCTTAAAGGCAGGATGTGCTTTTCAAGAAATGGTGTGAAGTAGTAGGAGGAGGCTTGATGGTAGATGGAACCTGTGAGACTGATAACAAGAGTCAAACCATACCTCAGACATGGCTTGACATATATGAAATAATGAAGGGTTGTTTTCTTTCTTTCTAAAATATCTGGTGATCTAGAAGCTTTGAAGCACATTTTTTCCCCCCATTACAGCCAAAAATCTTCATTAAAACACGATTACTTGAGGACAAGGGCTAATCCGCCCTCTAAATCCACTTGAGTTCATGAGGCAGTAATGAAACAGCAGCAACCTATTCCTATCTATTTAGATCCTGTTATTCAGGGGGATTTTCAGCAGCTAGAACCCCTGACAGAGCTGAGAGCCCTGACGTCAATGCAGCTGCCTCCCAGGACCATGTCATTTATAATGAAAGGAGTCAAGCAAAGCCCCCACACAGCACAGCTCACTCACACTCACACACACACACACTCGAGTGAGGTCAGACGCTCTCAGGGTGACAAATGACAAATATCAGTTGGGAGAAGAGGAACGTTGGCCCACTCGTTTTTCTTTTTCTTCTTCCCTCCTCAAGTCACCTTGTCATCTCAGCGCTCCCTCCTCCTCCTATTCTGTTGTCTTTTATCATGGGGTTTATAAGCTGTACAAACTTTTTTTTTCTCCCCCCCCCACCCCCCACACCCCGCCCTTAAATAATATCCAAGCACACACGAAGAACGCTCAAGCAAGTGTGTGGTTCACACTTGGCTCTGCTGTAACATCCAGCTCAGAGCCCCTGCAGGACCTGATTTTTCCAGGCACTACTGGGTCATGTGTGCTGGGATTTTCTGACTCTGTCCATCTGCTGGCTAGCATGTGATCAGTGTGCATTCAGTGGAGGAGGAAATGGGAGCGCTGCGTGACCTTCCTTCGAACAGGAGATCATTTTATAGAAGAAAATCTTCGGCAGACGCCCTGCAGAGCTATAGCATTTACCTCAAACCCACTTACTACAAAGCCTGCAGTGGGCTTTTAGAGGTTTTTATTAATACATTTATTTATTTTTTTAGATGAATTACATTATGAAGAAAAGAAAATGCATCGCTTGTTACAGAAGTTTAGATTCTCCTCTGCATTTGAGAGAGTATTTGTCTCTCTTTTTTTTTTGGTGCATCTCTAATCCTGAACAGTGCTGTGATCTCCTGCTCTAAAAGACGCAGTAGGATGTTGTCATCCACCCTCCTCCCGTTGTCATGACAACCATTGATGTCATTACAGTATACTTTGGCCTGATGAGTGAACAGGCTTCTGATATTGTAATATTTTACTAAGAGGAGGAAAAAAAAGATTACACTGTCTGTTATTGTATCAGCCTTCTTTTCTCTGTCTGTCACAGGCAGCCTGCTGGAGGTCTCAGCGGCATTCCACTGTGCTGGTGAATACGTTCTATAAATACCCACGTTTGACTGGAAAATGGTGCCGTCTTTTAGGGAAATTTGCCGGCGAGGTTGCACTTTTCAAAGGCGAAATTAAAAGCGCATCAAAATTAGCCCGGTGTTGTCATCTCCTGTAATGCAGAGCTCACAGACAAAACATGAGTTTGACTCAGCAGTACTAGCAGCATGTTGTGCACATGGTCTGATCCCAGGAAAAGAAGTGAGACCCTGGTTTCCATGAACAGATTGACCCCCGCCTTCCCCTCCCCCCTGCTGCCCTCCACCCACATCACCTACCTCTGGTGGTGTATTAGTGGGATTAGCTGTTCTCTGTCTGAGTGGGCTGATTGGATTGACATGGTCTCTCTACACGATCCCTTTCCACTCAAGAGGGAGCAAGCCTCTGCACTGAAACAGCTTTGAGAACTTCTTCTGCTTTCTCGAAGCACATTTTGCTCCAAATGTGTTTACAGGCTGGAAATCTGCAGCTGAGGTCAACCAATCGGAACTCTGCTCGGGACAGCCCCCCCCCTCCCGGTGCACTTTACTATCAGAACAAAAAAGGTGTTTGAGTTTCATGCAGTTTGCTAAATATTGACAGATGATTGCCATGGAGATGGACTAAATGTGATATGAGAGCACTGATCACTCTGACTGGTCGGGGCTTTGGGTCGCATCAGTGGTGATGAATTATTCAGCCTCTCCTGCTCAGTTAACGCTGAGCGTATAAGAGACGTGCAAAATCGCTGCAGTTGCTCACAGCTGGTTGTACAACAGAGAGGCAGAGTGTGAGTTTGTTGTCTAATTGATATGTGGTTGTGGTGTTTTAATCAGATAAATGTGCATTCAGTATTTATGGTTAACGACTCCCAAGGAACACAAAAAAGTATTTAGGGAAGCAGATATTTTTGCTCCATGATGTCACCTGTTTGTCTGCCTTGTTACAGCTCTTTGAAATAAGAAGTTCTGCCATTTATTTTGGGGTAATGGGCCTTTTAAAACTGTTGTTGTCCATGTTAAGTTGATTATCTTTAGCATTATAATGTCTCTTTAAAGGCAGATGAGAATGAAAAAGCGTGTTTGTTGCTTCAAAGAGCTGAACAGTTTAACTCCAGGCCTGCTCTTGTTAGAGACCACTCAGTATATTAGATTTTAAACACTTCTGTTGTTGGGAATGGAGGAATACACATTTCCTTTAAAGTGTTTGACTTTGAGGAAATGAGTTAGGGATAAAAGTGTCACATCAGAATAAAACAAAAGTACTCTATGGTGAAACTAGACCCCTGTATCTTCTTGGGGCTTTGTTTACAGGCTTTGGAAAACCTAGCCCGTGAGAAAAGATTTTGACCAATCATAGGTCTTTTCAGACCTGATTACATGACTTGTATAAAAAGCAAAAAAACCAAAAACAAAAAAAAACCCAAAACAAAAAAAAAAACGCTCTTAAGATGGAGGATGTGGTGGCACAATTCAATTCGCTTTTGAATTGAAGAGTTGCCCCAAGGCACTTTTATATTGAAAAGTAAAGACTCTACAATATTAGAAAG